GGCCAAAACCCACCCCAACCCACCGGGGCCTTGGGGCAGGAAGGGTCATTGCTCACCCCGCCCCAAAGCCCGCTGGGGCGGGGCATCGCCTGCCAGAGCCCGCCCCACCCCGCCCCGAGTGACACTCTAGATGATGAGGAGGAAACGTTGTTCTCAACACACTATCCCAAATTCGATCAGCCTGAAGGTTCTCCGCCGGATTAGAGCCATCGTTTTTTCCAACTTTTTTATCAGAGTCATGTTGCATACCTGCAGCACCTTTTACAGCAATCAACAATGGCTAGGAGTGAGATCCTGAGTCAACTGCAGACTGACAACAGATGCCAATGCTACATACAGACAGTGCCTGTATGCAGAACAGAACACGCATGCTTACACTAGACAAGCTCTGGTGGAAGCAAGAAGACTCCATTTAGAAGTGGAGAGCACCATCCATCATCTATGAAGAGACCTATTCAATTCACAAGCCGCTCATGTGGCAACTCAGCACGTGCTGGGCCTGGAAAAAAGACAGCTGGCACAAATGGCCGCTGAGCTTGACCGTACCCAAAGGAAATTTCAGCTTGTTGACAGTCTGGTCGACACAATGCTGCTTGAGGAAGATAGTGACCTTGAGTTGCCAGACCGATCGCGTCAGGTCACTGACCTCATCCTGGACTTAGAGGTCAACATGGAAAGGAAATATTAGGACATACTCTAGGAAAGAGAAGAACGGATTATGGAGCTGGAAAGACTACTGGAATATAGTGATCGGAAAGTTGGGAATTTTAGGGATTACATGTACTTCAGAACAACACAGCGAATAAAACATTTGTGGATTTCTAAAATAAGTGACCCTTGCGATAATCTCTCACTGGCAGATATTTTCGCCTTATTCTAAGAGTGACAATGATGAGAAAACAAGAGTACTCAACATCATTATTAGCCTGAACGGGCCAGATAAAGCTCAGGATAAATATGGGGTTTGTATATTTTCCGTCATGTTCCTTTATTCTGTCACTTGACACTCAGCAGCTCTTCCTTAAATTACCAAATTGAGCTTCTGTATTCCCCATTATCATTCAATTGAAATGTTCAATAATTGCGACTATGTCTGAAACAAACTGTACACGGACCTTTGGTTCCAGAACTCCAGGACGACATACTCTTTGTCAGCCAAAGAATTCTGTCAATTTATCTTCATTCTCAATTTGCCATGATTCACTTTCAGAACTTTGTCATGAGTATCTATTTTGCATTAATACTACAGATGTGAGCAAACGAATTAATCTCTGACAGAAGAAACAATAATGGCCAGAAATGCAGCTAGGAGTTGCCCAAACGCCATTGCGTTGCCCCAATCCTTTGACTGTCCGCCCCAAGCTACTATGGAAATCGAGATTATAGCCATACACAGAGCCGACCAGGCAAGAGTTTTTGGGCCATATAAATATATACGGTCCATCTGCCATCCCATTCTTATCTCAATACCTTTTATTCTTTCATGTCGTTGGTATCGCTTGCCAAATTGTGGGACGATGACCTTCCTGCCAGGAGTTAGACCAATATAACCAAGACAGTAGTGTTGACATACTCCGTGTTGTAGATACAACTATCCTGCGCCATGCCATCCAATGTTCCTAGCCCGTTGGCCTTTTGCGGGCTTCGGGCGCATTCCTTTAGTACATCTACTGTTTCGAGTATACTGATTTTGCGTTTCCGCTTCATTGCTTCGTTCGCCTCTTCCTGGATACATGTTGGGGGATCTAAGAAGTCCAATAACTGAGGGTCATACGTAGACACTGGGCAGCTTGGATTATGCATATAACCATAGCAGTACTCCATAGTGATTTTAGCATTATCATTGCATGCCTCATTTTTCTCAATTATGCAGTCTGCAATGTTCTTGACTCGCTTGATGTCAACTGATTTGACATCGTATATCTCATACAAACCATCTTGGTCTTTTGCCCTGTGAAATTCAAACTGCAATAAAACACACGTCAATGATTGACCCCTGGGGTGATAATACCATATCCATACCTCGACCTCTTTCACAGATACCGGGCCGTAGAAAGGAAGCCATCTTTTCCAGTGACCCATCTCGTAATACATGTCCAGCATCCTATTCCAAATCACCGCGTCACTTTCAGAAGCATTTTCGGTCGGGTTCACTTGTTTCGGCCTAATAAAGGCAAATGGCGAGGGTTCTTCTTTTTCGATTTCTGGTCGGCGGCATGGCACTTGAATAGCATAAGGCCCATTCTGACTTTGGAGGCAAAGGAAACAGCATTGCCTTGCTTTATCGATACTATCTGGCTGTATCAAGTAAGTAGCTGGGCATTCAATGTGTGGTGCCATATGCTTTGAGTATTACATCTCTCCGAGAAACAGAAGGCAGTTCCCCATCAATATTTTCTCTATTTTCGCATGCAAAAGCATGAGGCCTTTCCTCATCGATTTTTTCCCTTCTGGCTGAATGTATAACGGAAGGAGAACATTTTTCCCAGATCCGGCTCAGCATTGGTGTCGACCATCTTCTTGCTCATTTTTGTCTTTTCCACCTCTGATATCATTAAACAAAGATAAACAGTGATGTAAATATATAAATTGTTAATACCAATGAAACATGGATAGTTGACTTTTAAAGCCTCACAAAGACTATTTGATATCATTTGACATATGTCCCAACCCAGCCCCATTAATGCCCGAAGCTGTAAATGCCCAATGACATACAGGTACTTTTGGAAAGCACAGGCTCATTTCCGAAGCTGCAGTGAGTCATGGCCTCTCGAGGCTGATTTCGGAATTCTATGCACGTCTCGCTTACATATTGTTGGTAACAGCCACGATTCCCACGAAGTTCATAATTGAACCACCAATCAGCCCGAGAAAATCCAAGACATATTGTATGCATGTATGTATTCATTTACTCCAACCCTTTTCCAATTAAGAGGTACAAGGACATATATAGTTATGGTAGCCTGCATATCGCTTTGGCGAGGGGTCGGGGTAAATGAATACACATACACACACATACTGTAAGCCCACCATCATTATAATACAATAAAATGTCCAATGCGCTACATTAGAGTTATGTCGACAATTTGCTTGGCTGTTTCTTTTTTGCTTTGCCTTGTTGTTTGGAGCTTGTTATAACCATTATAGTCGAAATCACTCCCATCTGAAACCCAGTTTCATCAAAGTTATAGATATCTGCTTCCAGGATGCCATACTTCGTGATAATGTTCTGAAATTTATTATAGAGCTCTGTGCCTCTAGCCCTGTGCAATTGATGGTATTCTGCAATCAGGCTGTCACAGAAAGCTTTACACTCCCGCTTCATGCTCATGAGGTCTTGGTCTGTCTTGAGCTCTTGCTTCTTTTGGTCAGTCAACTCTTGTGGCGCAGATGCATCCCGGGTCGAACTTGCATTGCTAGAGAGCTTAAGCAAAGCATCTCTTGCGGGAATGCTCATCTAGATGCCCTACAGAAAAAGGGTTAATAGAGATCAACTTCAATGATAGATATTCCTTAATCAAGTTTGCTGCTGCTCCTTTTCGATATTTGTACAGAGAACCGGGATTCTTAAATCCGGCTGACTTGCTAGTGGCAATTTCGTATACTTGCGCTCGTTCATATCAAAAGGCTTGCGTTGCATCAGTAATCCAATTACCCTCAGAGTTCCTGATGGCACATCTGAACACTGGGATGGCTTTAACGCTCTCTTTAAAGTGTAGGGGGGTACTGAGTCGATAGCCTGGGAAGTTGGAAAATGCATGTCACTGAGAGCCATGAGATGGTAGGTAGTGAAGAGAAGGTCGTCAATATTGACTGAAGGCTGTGTCTTTGCTCCCAGGTCCAGGTCGTACTTGTCAGTAAGGGCGGTGCACACTAGCTAGTTGAATAAGTCTTGATCCTCACTTATCCAAGATATTCAGATATTGACTTACATTCGTCATCTTCTGTCTTAGGTCATAAGGAAAAGGGTGTCACGGAATACGGGCATTCACCAACAACACAAGATGTTTGTATACTTCGGCCTGTTTGAATATAGGGCAGGAACCCCCTTCGCACACTAGATAGCGCAGCGCTGGCAGGCCCAGCTTCTTTCTTTCCTTCTCCATGTTAGTATTCCGACAGAGAGTCTACCAATGAATTTATATTGTTCGAGACTGTCACAAGGGGCAGTCCATTTCCTCGCACCAAAACATTATCCAGTATCGTACAAAGACCAGAAAGCCTGATTGGTACACGACGTGATGGGTCTCAAGGTACCATGATATTGATAGGCTATCTCCACCATAATGGTAGAATGTGTGCTTAGCCATCTAAAGCATATGGCTATGGTATCTTATGAGGAGTCTGTCGGCTCCATTAATCGGACGGCCTATTAGCCCACCTTGACTTTCATTATATAGCTAGAGGGTTGTATGGATTTTATAGAAATTGAATTATGCATCCCGCCTGTCGCATGCTTTTTTTTTTTTCTTTGCCGACCTCACGAGCGTAGCGAATGAGTAAATCTGTATTGAATTGTAGCGGGAGTCGTGAACTCACATTAATTGTGTACGAGTAGATACCTGGACCCTGGCAATCCCCTATCGGCGATACCCTAATGCATCCCACTATTAAACGGAACATGCCGATTGATTTTTTTGCGATAATTACCACATTATAACTTTGAACACAACGTGGGCGGCATAGCCAATCATCACTGGCCGGATGCTATATTAACATTTATCACATCGGCCTTGGCCGAAGCACTTATCGTGCAATGGATGTCCCCTCATTTGATCTATAAAAGCCGACTGAACAGCTGTTCTAGGAAATACCAAGTACTTCACCAGGATGTGCTCACTACTTGTTCTCAGTGCAGCGTTGCTTCCCCCAGCCCTAGCTATCTCCATCAACGAAATAAACGGCAATCGCTTTCTGTCGCCGTATCAAGGTGAAAGCGTCTCCAATGTTGAAGGACTAGTCACAGCCAAGGCATCTTTGGGGTTCTATCTTCGGTCCATAGATCCCGATTCAGATGACCGTACCTCCGAGTCTATTTATGTTTATGGCACCGCGGCTATTGATGAGGTGAGTGTGGGTGATATTATCACCCTTAGCGGTACGGTTTCCGAGTACTATTACTCATCTTCCTATATTCCCCTGACGGAGATTACGTATCCATCGGATATTGAAGTTCAGACAAGTAATAATGAGGTCGTGCCTGTTGTTATCGGGGAGAATGGACTGTTACCTCCGACAGAGGAGTTTTCGTCGCTGGATGAGGGGGATGTGTACAGTCTTCCAAGCAACGCTAGTCAATTGTCCGACAAGAATCCTGTTCTGGATCCAGATACATACGGGATAGATTTCTGGGAGAGCTTGAGCGAGGAGTTGGTCAGTATCAGTGGTCTCAGGGCTATCGCCAAGCCGAATCAGTATGGTGATACGTGGGTTGTTGGAGATTGGCCGGTGACTGGAGAGAATGAGAGAGGAGGGTTGACCATGCGTGCTAATGGTAGCACTTTGTTCCCTATAGCCTTACTGCATCGGGACGTGAAACTGACGGGGGCAGACTCAAACACTGAAGCCATCCTCATCGGCTCCGCATTAGACGGAACTAATAATCCTACTGATACGAAAGTGGGCGATACTATCGACGACATAACTGGCATTATCACACAGGCTTACGGATTCTATTCGATTCTCCCACTAACCGCATTATCCGTGTCCGGCTCAAACTCTACAACTGCATCGCCCACGGATCTGGTCTCAGATGGCACCTGCAAGAAAGCGTCCTTCGGAAGCTACAACGTTAACAACCTAGAGCCAGACTCTGACACCCTATCCAAGATTGCAGAGCACATTGCCACATACATGAAGAGTCCGGCATTAGTATTCCTGCAGGAGATCCAGGATAACAATGGCGCTACGGACAATGGAGGTACGAAACCCTACTCCCCAAGTCCTAACAGAAGCTAAAGGGAAGCAGTAACAACCGCAAACAAAACACTCTCAACCCTAACCACCGAAATCGCCAAAAAGGGCGGAATCAACTACACCTTCTTCGACATCGACCCTGCAGACGGCGAGGACGGCGGGGAACCAGGCGGGAATATTCGCAATGCCTATCTCTACGATTCTTCGGTTATAAAACTACATAATCCGAATCCAGGCTCTAGCAGTGATGCAAATGATGTCCTATCGGGTCCTGAGTTGAAGTATAACCCGGGGCTGATTGACCCCAATAACTCGGCATGGGAAAATAGTCGGAAGCCACTCGCTGCGGCTTGGGAGGTGGTAGATGGGGGTGATGTGTTTTTTACAGTCAATGTGCATCTTACCAGTAAAGGAGGCGGTTCCTCGCTCGAAGGCGATGCCAGACCGCCCGTAAACGGGGGCGTTGAGAAACGAATCTCCCAAGCTGAAGCCATCGCTGTACGACTCCCCTCCCTTTAACCTCTCTGAAAGAACAAACTAACTGACCATAAAATGCTATAGAATTTCACAAACGCCCTCCTCACCGAAGATTCATCCACCAAAATCCTGATCTCTGGCGACTTCAACGACTTTTCCTTCGTCGAGTCCCTCCAGATCTTCACTTCCAACGACCTTTACGACCTGGATGACGTAGTGGAGACACCATCTACAGAGCGTTACACGTATTTGTATGATATGAACAGTCAGCAGCTGGACCATATGTATGTGAGTGAGAGCTTGGCGAAGGCGGAGGCGGGGATGGAGCATTTGCATTTGAATACGTGGGTGGAGTATGATGCGCAGGCGTCGGATCATGACCCTACAGTTGCAGTTTTAGATGTTTGTGGCTAGGTAGGTTGGGGTTGTATTTAGAGCGGTGGAGGGCTTGGGTGGTACTGTGGGGTTCTACAGATCCATACACATTCAGGAGGTAAATCATTCAGCGTAATTGATATTCCCATTTAACGGATATCCATCTGTATCTATGACATTTTCTCCACATCCAAATCAAGTTCAATTACCGACCAACGGCAATCAACTAACCCCATCCACTCATTTAACCAAAGAAAGGAATGACAGGAGCAGTAGGAGTTGGGAAGGCACCGGTCGGGGTAGGAGCATCAGAAGGCTTTGGGAGCGAAGGCGAGCCAGTGGGCTTGGGGAGGTCACCAATAGGAGGGAAACCAAAGCCGCCAGCGGGCTTCTCGCCAGCCTTGGGGGTACCGGAAGGCTTGGAGGTCTCGGAGGGCTTGGGGAACTCGCCAATGGGGAAGGGGATGAAGTCGCGCTTCTCATTGTCGCCGCCGAACAGCTTGGCGAGGTCACCGAGATCGGGCAGCTCGGAGGGCTTGGGCAGGTCGCCCAGGCTGGGGAGGCCGGAACCAGAGGGCTTGGGGAGGTCGGAGGGAATAGGGAACGGGAAGAGGCCGCGCTTCTCGGAGTCGGAGCCGCCGCCAAACAGCTTGGCCAGGTCACCGAGGTCGGGGAGCTCGGAGGGCTTGGGCAGATCGCCCAGGCTGGGGAGGCCGGAGCCAGAGGGCTTAGGGAGGTCGCCCAAGCTAGGAAGGCCGGAAGGAAGGGGGAACGGCAGGTCGCGCTTCTCGGAGTCGGAGCCGCCAAACAGCTTGGCCAGGCCACCGAGGTCAGGGAGCTCGGAGGGCTTTGGGAGATCGCCCAGGCTGGGGAGACCAGAGCCAGAGGGCTTAGGGAGGTCACCGAGACTGGGAAGGCCAGAAGGCTTGGGAAGATCGCCCAAGCCAGGAAGACCGGTGGGCATAGGGAACAAGCCACGCTTCTCCTTGTCGCCGCCGAATATCTTGGCAAGTTCACCGAGGTCGGGAAGATCGGAAGGCTTAGAAAGGTCGCCCAAGACGGGGGAATCGGAAGACTTGGGGAGGTCACCCAAGTCAGGAAGACCAGAGGGCTTGGGGAGGTCGGAGGGCTTGGAGTCGCCGAGGCCGGGGAAGGGGAAGAGACCGCGCTCGTTGACACGAGTGGGCATAGCGAGAGCACAGCTCACGAAACCCACGGTAGCAGCACTGCTGAACTTCATTTTGAAAAAGTGGTCAAAGAAAGACGCAAGAAGGCTGAGCTCCTAAAGAATGGAAGGTGTGAATAGTCACTGAATGAATGAGTGGTTGTCTGCTCGAGTCAAACGGGGAATTCAGACGTCTTTATAATCTGGGATGTCGTGACAGATCGGGTCTTAATATCCCATAGCAATCGTCATTTTACTGATGCGATTGCACACCTGCTCATCCCGAGCCCATCTCGGATGGTGGATACTGTTCGGGGAAAGCATATCTGCCGATCAAGAAGAAGTCATTCAAGGTGCTCATTCCAGCAAAGCAGGTATCGGCATTCGGTTAGCCCCAGGGACAAAACTTTGCCATAAGGCTCGGTGATTCATTCAAAGCCGAAGAATACGGAGTGAGCACCCCCACTACCACGCGAATGCGATGCTAGCCAGACGTTTTCTGTCTCGCCATGAGTTATTCTTCCGCCAGAGCGTTGATTGCGATGTCCTCGGACAAGACTTAGCATGCTGAGCCGCTGCATTAGCCCTGTGAAGGGCCCTGTGAATCAAATGGAGGGAACAGACGTCGTACGTATGCCTTCCAAACCTTCAATTTTAAGACGCAGATCTCTCCAACCATGCCGAATGAGGGCCCACAGTTGGTTATCAACGCCCAATCATCCCACGGGCCGAGTAACGTGTTGGTCAGGCACTTGGTTGTGATGGGCAAAATCTGCGACAGCCCTGAAACCCTGCGCTGTTCCAGAAAAGTAGATCGCGATGCGTATTCTTGCATTCGACTCTACTCTGACATTTGCGATGCATAGCGGTCCTCAATCAGGTCTGGATAATTCAAGAGCGAGCGAATGGTGTAGATCTGTGCCTCCGTTACTGCTGTAATATGTAAAATCCGCTATCGTATATTGTGCATGGGGTCACCGAGGTCCGTGGAGGCATGTCCGAATTCGGAATGCTTCCACGACGCCTCAAAATTGGAGTTCAACTAATCCCGCTTATCCCACTCGGCTAAGTCCTTTCGAGATTTTAACTTGTTCGTAGAATTACCGGTGATGTTGTCCATTGCCGCGATCGCGGAGATGGTCATAGTAAATGTGAAGAGACGGAGTGCGAGAAGCAAAAAGGGGTAACCTCACCGCTTCCTCGTTCTTCCCTTCAACACCCATTCTACACACTACAAACAGAGAAATCTACTGACATTGCGCCATGACATGCCCTCGAGGATTCCAGCCTACTGACCACTCCGGATCTGGTCCTGACCGACTAGGTTGTTCTTCGGACAAATATGCATGGACCGTGGCACCTCGACACCCAAATAATGTCCCTATGGTGTCATTCCTGTTTCTCGAATGCTTGTCTTGTGAATGGCAGGCCACTCCGGACCTGATAATGCTTCTGTTGGCCCCATCGGGATCCACAGATGCCCAAACTTGGGGCTCCGGGGTGAGCATCTGTGCGCGAACGTTGTTCATATGCGTGGCGTACGGGGTACTCCGAGAGATCCGTGTGAAAATGATATGTGCCGTTTGGCACGGTCCTTGCGATATCGACAAACTGAGACGACTCGAAACCGGATGTCTCGTCATTGCTGGCGGGTGGGTAATGATGGGGAATGATGCCATGAGGCGGGATAGTACGTTTGCTATCTGCCAGCGAGCGTCGGGGTATATTCTGTTTCCGATAGATGTTTGGCTTCCAGATTTATTAGGCCTTGTTTACATAGGCTGACAAGGTACTACGGCAATAGCTGGTTCTGGGCCATCGTGGTCCTCTTGCGCTGAAATTGGACTGGGTACTACTGTTGCAATGCTAAGAATACACAGTCGTATCCTTCAGCCATGATGGTGCTTTACTCCCTCAAAGTGAACACAGTCGAACGAGCCAGACCATAGTACGCAACGTCAGCCTTGCAGGCTGTGTTTCACCATCTATAGTCCGAGGCTTAAGTGCAACTACCGAACAAAATTCTTGCTCCGTGCATGAGCCATTTTTGAGTGATGGATGAATCGGCGAGATTGGCAGTTGCATGTCTTCGCAATGACCGCTGCTTACTGTTGGGGACCATGTGCACAGATAGCATCGTTACATGGGCCAGGCGGATGTCACTGAGTGTTGCCATAGTATGTCTGGCACTGGAACTGTTGGGCACATACAGAAAGGTGAAAGAAGCTATGGTCAATGTTTGTCTCCAGACTGCTCGCTCACTTTCTAAAACTGCTAGCATTCGTCTTGCTTTGCTCGTTAGAGTCATGGCACCTCCATCATTTCATACAGCTCAGAGACCCAGGCCTGACAACCAACCTATTTACACCACTTCAAACAACAGCCTGCTCAACCTACTACAGCAATTGTACAATTATTCTTGGTTCACTGCTCACCATGCCCAAGCCTAACAACAATCTTCCCAACCACCCTCTTCTCAAACCTCTCATACGCCCCCGCCACCCCGTCCAGCCCATACAAAACCTCATCAACAACCACCCGTGGCCTCGCAACCCCCCTATCTATCAAACCCTTCAACAAAAACTGCAACTCCTTCACCTGTACAACGCCGCCCCGAACCGAGAGGTTTTTCGACCAAAGCGACCCCAAAGGAACTTCAAACACCCCTTCTTTTCCGGTGGCTAATGGTGCCCCCGGTGTCGGCCCGAATCCAGCAGGCAGATATTCGCCAATGATCCCGATTCCACCAGTTGGTTGGGTAATGTTTACGCAGTTGCGGATCACGATGCCTGGTTCGTATTGCAGTTGGGCGTTGAGAGTTTCGAAGCCTACGCAGTCGCAGGCGCGACGGACGCCGGCGTCTGTGCCGTTGGGGTAGCGTGGTGGTTCAAGCGTGAGAATTTGTTGAACCGGGTCTGAGTCTTTGAAATTGATTGGGACCGCGCCGATAGATTTTGCTTTTTCCAGCCGGGAGGGGACGTAGTCGATTGAGTAGACTTTACTCGCACCACGGAGAATAGCAGAATACACGCAGAGCAGACCTACAGGCCCCGCGCCGAATACAGCAACCGAATCACCAGGCTCAAAGCCAGAGCCACTAAGCCCATCCCACGCCGTCGGGAAAATATCAGATAACATGATATAATCGATATCCTGATCTCCATCATACTCAGTCCCATTAGGTGGGATTCGAAAGCACGACGAATCCGCAAACGGCACCCTAATAAACTCCGCCTGCGCGCCCCCTAACCCAGCTCCAAATTCCTCACCCAACCCCGGTAAATCAACTAGCGTTTCCGGATGGAACGTAAGACAATAAGTCCATCTCTGCCGGACGCAGTTTTCGCAGTAGCCGCATGATATCGGGCCAACGACAACCTTGTCCCCGACTTTAAGTGTTCGAACGCCAGGGTTAACCTGGGTAACGGTGCCGATGCCCTCGTGGCCCATTATCCACGGCGGGTCCTTGCTGCCTGCGAGGCCGCGGTAGGTGTGCAGGTCTGTGCCGCAGATTGCGGTGGTTGTTAGTTTGATTAGGGCGTCGGAGGGGTGTTTTAGTTCGGGGACGGGGTGGTCTTTGAGAGACATTTGGAAGGGCTTGCCTTCCCAGGTTATGGCTTTCATTGTTTTGGGGGTGGTCATTGTGTGCTGCATTGATTTTTGGCATGAAGAAGAGAGGATGTGGTAAGAGCAGGCGCGATTTATTTAGTGCTGTATGTGGATGGATTGACATGACGGTGAGTAATGGCGGATTTACTTTCCGGAACCCTAGTTGCCACGGAACTCAGCTAGGATAATGGGACGTCATTCTCATGGGTTCTATCTAGGTAGCTAACGACGAGAATAATCAACACGAGGAGGCGAAGCCGCAAAATCCGCGCCAAACCCGCAATGGCGCACATTTGGATGGAAGATCATCATCAGCCCAAGTATCACCATCGTCTGAAAAGCCACCAAGATCTTCGGTTTCCCTGATAAGACGTTCAGGTTCCAACTAAACGGGCTCATCAGTGTCTAGGCTGCCTGGCCCTTTAACTTGGGATATTTAATTGTCTTCATCCTCAAGAAACTCACACTCACACTCACAACTCAGTGCAAAGCAATCAGTACACATTTGAGTCATAGGTTCTTTAATTGTCTCTGGGGCAAGACAGTTCCGGTAATAGTGACAAATATCACAGGAAGTGCTGAAGAGATTCCCAGATCCCTCACTACTGGTAGAGACCGCAAGGATGTCGCGGGCCATTCGGGCCAGGACGGAGAATCAATTCAGATTATTACACCGCCATTGAAGCGCGTCTGTGGTGCCAAGTGAGTTCACAATAGCTAAAGTAAAACAAACCGCAGTTATATTGCAGTGACGGTCTCAAACAATGTAAGTCCATTGGTAGACTATCTAGCGGAATACTAATATGGAGAAGGAAAGGAAGGCCTGGCCTTATGAACGAGGGCAGCTCACCTATAAACTATCATGATGCCACAATCCGTATACCCTAACTACTAAACCAGAGCAAGTAACGAAAGCAGCCTTAGATTACTCCGCAAGATCTAAAATAAAATATTCTATGTAAAAACGTCTGTCGCATACCTCTCCTTCGTCTTCAACCCCTCAAAGAACCTCTCCGCCGCAGTCTCCTCATCAACATCATCAACTTCCTCACCCCTCTCCCTCTTCTCCTCCCGAATAACCCTCCGTCTCGCGAGGTAAATGTTCTTACAAGCCTCCCTTACACCATTACCCACGCCCGTACTACCGCAGACATAAATCCGTGCACCCTGGTCGAAGATCTCGACCAACTCGTCACTATCGTCTAGCATACGGTCTTGAACGTGCTGACCAGTTGAACCGTTGGCGGGGCGGCTATACGCCCATCGCACATCGACGGCGCCGAGTTTCGCCCACTCGGCAAATTCGGAAGCGTGAATGTCATCTTTTCCATCGGTTCGGCAGCCAACGTATAGGATAGCTTTCGCGGGTTTATCTTCTTCAGGAAGGCCCTGGCCAGCGCTTCGTCCGCTGATTTTCTCCGCGCGGTCCTGCACAAATCCGCGGAAAGGCGCGATGCCCGTTCCCGCACAGGCCATTATCATGGGCGTTTTGAGATCTGTGGGTGGTTTGAAGCCCGAGTGCGAGGGGCGGACGATGACGTGTGCGCGTTCGCCGGCGTGGAGTTCAGAGAGGTAGGTTGATGCTACGCCTAGGTAGCGTTCTTCTTCTTCTTCCTTTGACGTGGAGGCAAGGGAAGGCGCGTTGAGGACGGAGAATGTGATTGAGCATTCGGAGGGGTTGACGAGCGGGGAAGAAGAGATGGAGTACTGCCGCACGCGCATTGGCGGGAGCATAGCGAGGAATTCGCCAATGGGGAGGACGATGCTGGGGTAGCGCATGAGGATGTCAAGCGGGCTTGCTCGTTTTTTGGAGACTTCTTCTGCGAAACGACTGGGGCTGGATGCGATATAGCGCAGTTCAGCTTGAACTTCTGCGTCGCCGACGGCTGCATCGGCGAGGGTGCTTAGATCACGTTTTGAGGCTGGCTGCGAGAGTTCCACGTATGTGGAAAGGAGTTCGAAGGCTGAGACGGGGGTATCTAGGGGGATTGATGCGCTGCCGGAGCTTTGGGAGAATTTCTGGATTTTGAGCGTGGCGTCCCAGGGGAGGTCGAAGCGGCGGATTGCGCGGCGAACGACGCTGCGGGGGTTTACTGGGAGGACGGCTAGGTAGTCACCGCATTGGTAAGTCATGTCGGTAGGGAGCTGGAAGTTGATGATTCTCTTTGCCGGGACACCGGGCTGGGTTAAGAGTCGGTTTTCGAGGACCAGGGCTTCTTGGAGCTGGAGGCCAAGAGTTGAAGCACGCAGTCCTGAGCTCACTTCGACTTGGAAGCCAGACTTGGGCTTGGAAGTGTCGGCAGTTTGAGAGCCGCCGAACTTTGATGTTATGGCAGGCCAGAAAGCGGAATCGCCCCAGGTGTCGAAGTCAGAGAACATGTCCGAGTTGGCTGCGTCTGCTAACCCGAGGTCGCAGAGTTTGTTTGCACCACGCTCTTCAGCCAGTTGGTTAATAGCCTTCGGGATGCGATGGAACGTAGCGTGCCAGTCATCTATACGGGTTAGGAATGACAAAGAGAACACTTTAGGAGTGATAAGGAATCTCACGATGACCGCATCCAAACACAGCATAATTAACACCCTCAAGCTCCTTCTCCTTCAACGAACTAAACCACTCAAAGAAATGTGCCGCATTGTCAGGAGGGTTACCCTCGTACGAAGCACTAATGAAGACCACAGGATCCTTCTTCGGAACATTCTGCATGGCCGAATCGAGCGGCTTGACTTCCGCGCTGTACCCATATCCAAGGGCATCGTCTGCAAGTCTGCGGGCGAACGCCTCACAAGTCCCCGTGTTGCTGCCATAGAAGACATGCAAAGGTTTCGTTTCGCCCGGTGGAGGCGCAACTTTCGCCTTGCGATCTCTGCTACCAGCTCCTGAGGTTTCGGGGGCGTCGCTGCCACTCAGGAAGGTGCCCAGCTTGATCGCATCAAGTCCCTCGCGCGGTGTAACTCGCATGTAGAAATCTTTGGGTTTGACGGTGAGTGTCTGTTTGATCCGGAGGTCATAGCTGGGGTTATCCAGCTGGAAGTTGAAGTTCTGCAGGAGAATAGCGACCACCAACAAAGCTTCTTGCCATGCAAATGGACGGCCGATGCAACCACGCATGCCATTTCCAAATGGCTTCCATGCGTTCTTGGGCAGCTTGTCGAAGTGCTCATCGAGCATGCGTTCTGGTCTGAATTCATCCGCGTCCGGACCGTAGACTTCAGGGTCTCGGTGCAGCTTGCTCAGGACAACTGCAATGACCTCGTCATCATTAAGGACGTATTTTCCGTTTCCTAGAGTGACTGGAGATTCCTTGTTCTTAGTTGGATGCGCATGCACAGCGATCACAGGAGCTGTAGGTCGTAGACGAAGCGTCTCGCGCATGACGGCGTTGATATATGGCAGTTTGGACAGATCTTCCACGGTGATCTTTCGTCGCCCGATAACCGTGTCGACCTCTTCTTGTGCCTTTTTGTATGAGGTTGGGCTCTTGAGCAGGAAGTAGAAGAGGAACGAGAGCATCCCAGAGGTGGTTTCATGGCCTGTAAACGTTAGTTCACCCAATTTTCAAAGACATGACCCAAGGATCACTTACCAGCAATCAAAAAAGTAATCATATTATCAATAATCGTGTCATCTGACAGCCCCTGCCCGGTCTGCGGATCCCTCCCCAGAATTAACGCATTAAGCAAATCCTTCTTGCCCTCCTCAGGATTCTCCTTGCGCGCATTAACCAATTCTTGCGAAAGTTCCCGCAAATAGGTAATATCACTCCAATACTTGGCATTCTCGCTAGTCGGCAAGCTGTTAAGCAATGCCGGGCGACGAGTCCGGTCTCCGGAGCCCTGTAACAGGCCAACCATGGCCTCAACGAACGGATGCATTTCTTCGTGGTAGAAGGAGTTGAATCGTGTGCCCATGGAGCAGAGCGCGATGGTATCGAGTGTCAGACGGGTGAAGTCATCTGTCACCATGATGGGTGTTTTGGGGCCTAGCCGGGCCCATTTCATGACTAGTTGTGTTGCGATATCGTACATTTCTGCCGAGGTCAACTTATGACCACATCAGGTCATCCGAAAAAAGCTTACCATCATACATCCCCCGAATCGACAACGGCCCAAACGCAGGCACAAGAACCCGGTGCGCAACAGCCCAATTCTCCTCCCCGGGATACTCGGCCGTAAACAACCCATCATGAATACCATTCCGGATCTCTTTCAGTCCTCCGGCGATCATCTTAGCGAAACGCTCCTCATTAAAAACTTCATCGGCAAGTTCGTGGCTGCTGATGAAAACCCGTGAGATTCCGAAGGTTGTTAAGCGGTAGATGGGACCTGGCAGGTGTCAGTGTGAGCAAAATTATGACAGCGAGTCAGTGCAGTCCTTTACCGTAGTTATCGGCCATCAACTCCATGCTGTTCAAGGGTACATCGCGCTCGATATCGTAGAGATTCCCCACGATCGGGACTCCCCTGGGCCCCGGGATGGGCACTGGTTTGTTTGTGCTCATGGCAAAGGATAGCTGTTAGCTGTCCCTCTGGTAGTGGGGCAAAGATCGCGGGTATCAGATCGATATTGATGGTTCGGAGGTGATGTTTTGACAGAAGCCGCTAGCTGTAGAAATCCTATACCACAGGTAAAGGTAGTGTAAATACTAAGGCACCGATGAAAATGCAGAAAGATGAAAGAAAGGACTCCTCTTATACAGCTGAGAGAACTCCCAACACATCATACATTTCGGGCACCCCGACTCGGTGGGCCACATTTATGCACGGCATTACTGAATAAGGCTGAATAAGGGCCGTGTGATTTGCGGATATTATGCATAATTCCGATCCAGTGACCGGGCACTGTCAGATGCCTCGGCTCAAGAATGCTAGGATAATCCGATTTAGTATCTACTCCGGTGTATATAGGGGCTATGTTATGTCGTGTTTTTCTGCACAAGGTAGCATTCATTATTACGGCGAATTTTGCCATCGCAGGTATTTCGGTGTCGCAAACTTGTCCTGAAGTGACTAGTGCTTAAACAGGTCTTTGGGTATCACTAATCTAATGATAATCTATACATGAAAATAACATCTACTTGAGTAGCAGAAATACAGCCATCAACAGAATCGTCCGTTATAAACGTTTGTCGGCTGCAGATATGGCGACAAATAGTAGGTTTTCCTGGTTATCGGTGCCAGGCACGACGTCCCGGGCGGAATGAGGATCTCGTCGCGTCGAAAGTATGACTCCAGGAATATGCCCGCGTGCGTTGGCGGAGTGCATGCCCTCCATGCACAACCAGCATGGGCGCTGCTTAGTGCCCCCGACATATCAAGCCCTGCGAGTTCTCAAAGAAACGCATCTTGGGCACCCTGGTATTGCACACATAAGAGCGTAGAATCACAAACAACGGTGTATATAAAAAGAGAAAGATATCACACGGCATCACCGCACAATCCAAATCAAAATCCAAGCAACTAAAAAGGCCACAGAAGCAATGAGTTTCAGGCCTGACGAACGCTTTCGCAACATATTCAGAATCAGAAAGCACATACACATCAGCACCATGAGATTGATAGTGTAGTTGGTTCGGGGCGGCGCGCTGCTGGCTTTTGCTTTCGCGATGGGCCAGCCGTTGTCGTATTCGATGTAGCTCCAGCCTAGTTGGGCGTCCTGGGATTGTTAATGGGGGGTATATTTGGTTGTAGCTGGGGTACGTACGCTGTTAAGGAAACCGATGGTTGTGTTTACTAGAAAAAATCCCAGTAAGTTGGTGTTTCCTTCAAGCTTGGATAGTGGGACTCACGGTAATGATAATACATGATATCCTGGTGATGCTTGTTCTCCGGCAAAATACCAATTCCCCCAGGAGCATACACCAAGCCATGATTCGATCCATAGACAGTAGTCCCGCCACCGTCTAAGAGCTTCTTCCCGGACTTATCGACAAACGGGCCCCTCACGCCTTTGGACCGTCCGACACGAATGCTATATCTGCAGGCTGTTAGCTCACCACCACGCAATCATAAAGGACAAGATAGGATCGCATACTCCCTCCCCATAGCAGGAAACCCCTTATGAAAATCACAACATTTCCCATGACTAAACCAAAGATAATAATACCCCTCCCGACAAGTCATAAAACTCCCCTCCTGCGGCTTAACCTTACGCCCAGGCAGAAACACCAAATGTGTAGCATCCAGCCTCTCGTCCTCAACGGACAGCAAATCATCCGCCAGCGGCAACTGAAAAATCCCCTGCCAGTAACTTCCCCACAGCAAATACGGTTTCCCAGTGCTCTGGTCCGCGATAAACGATGCATCAATCGCATTTGAAACCGTCAGCGGATAGGTATCAGAAAGAGGGCCCTTGTCCGTATTAATAACTGCCCCGTGATCCGTCCACCCGCCCTGGTCAATCGAATCACTCGACGCAACACCTATCGCACTATTCCTCACCCCATTCTTACTGATCGTGTAAAAGCAATAGAACCGGTTCTTCCACTGCACTGTCGTAGGCGCCCATGGCCTCGTACGGTTCTGCTTCTCAATCACACTAGGCCCATCCAATACAGTCCCGATCTTCTGCCACGGCCCGTCGAGACTAGATGCTTTGTGGATGGGCAGGTGGACGCCGCCTTTGAAGAGGTAGAACTTGCCATCTAGCTCGACGATATTCGGATCGTGAGCTTGGATGTTGCCTAGGTTGGGTAAGGGGTATTGTTTTGTTTCGGAGAAGATGTGTGGTTTATTGGGGAGGCGAACGGCTGGGATGGCGGTTGTCCATTGTGATAATGTAGTCAGAATCAGGAGTATTGATAAGAAGAGCATGCGATGAGACATGATCCATTGATTGGGATGTAGGGGGGAGATGAGAGAAATGAAAAATGATCTGGTAAATCCATTGCGCAGATGACAGCATAAGAAAAGAAACATGGCAGTGCTGCTTATCATGCAGATTATCACGTGATAATTGGATCCCCTGGCCAGATCCAGACCGCCAATTGGGTTAGAGACCCACACGGTAGGACAATATTGGATATCTGATTGGTTGCCGTATGCTTGATTCGGCTTAAAATATCGCCAAGCTTTTGTCGCTGCCTGATACTAGCCTGATTCGGTGACAGGCCCACCGCGGCTCAAATGTGCCAATCGCGTGGCGTTGCATAAATTTACATAAACGGAGTGAGCCTCATGGGATGGGGATGTGAAGTATTCCTTGCACAAGCGCTGTGGAAACGGGGTAAGCTAGATATAACTCGGCTAACAGTCGCACAGCTACTCCGCTGGACCAATACATGAAGACCAAACAGCCACGTTAAATGATGCATGTTCGTGATTGGCGCCGTGTCATGTCCACTAGAGAATCCGCGTTGATCAGTCAGGAACTCTGTCGATCATGAGTAATGGTGAGTTCCAGTTGCACAGAATTAAGAGGGTCGTCAATAATATGTGCTGGTATGTGGTGGAGTACATGGTCACATTTTACACAAATCCGTTATTCTCCAAAGGTGATCCCTGTCAGATCCTCGAAATCATATACATCCAAGAATGGGTCGAATTCGCCAGGAGGCTGCACCAATCAGTAACAAACTCGAAGAAAAGGAAGAGGAAAGAAAGACGTACCGTGATCCCCAACCCACTCGCTTGCAAAAGCCCATTAAACCCAGGCGTCAACGAAGGAGCCAACGGCGGACCCGGCGTCAAAGTCGGAACCTACACGTACGAGTCAGTAACAAGCGGTGGCATTCGACATGACAGAGTAACTAACCTGATTGGTTTGGAAACATCCCATCCCCAACGGCCCCAAATGCGCACAATTGGCATGGCGTGTGAAAAGCGTCTGCGCGAATGTGATGACCCGGTCAATCACCTCTTGTTTGTACATGTTCCCTTGTGCGGGCCAGAGTTTTGTCTTGACTAATGCCAAGATTGTCGACATGAAGAAGTATTCTTTTGCGCCTTTGACGACAAGGAGCCAGCGGGCTTCGAGGCATATCAGAATGGCTTCTGCCAGGGTGACCAGGGCTTCGGGGAAGCCGAGGAGCGTTCGGGTTAGGGATGTTACGGAGCCTAAAAAGTTAGAACGAAGCGATGTGCGAGGGGTAATTATAAGTGAAAACATACCGCCACCAGCATCGCCAACACTGGCATGAAGTGCCTGGCATATGGAGCAAAACGCTTGCATCGTCCAATCACCTGTGTTACACAGCGACAGAGATCGTGCCGTTTCGTGTAACCGTCGCTGCGTTGACAACATCATAGTAGCAACCTCCAACCGCGCCCGCGCAGATGGGGTAAACAACGGTTCTTTGGGTGCCTCAATGGCAAAAGGTGTGTGAAGCGATAATAGACAATGCCCGATCCGGGTCTCCAGTAGTGCTCTTATCATGGTCACTTTATGTTGGGTCTGCAGATCGTCTGCGTCAGAGGTAGCCCACGTGGGGATCTTCGACATATACCGGACTAGTTCCCAGTCCATGCGAAGGATCTCGTCGTAATGACAGCTGATCCGAGGGCTGTGCATTAACTGGCAGATCCTCAGCCGAAGTGGCAGCGACTGCGTCATGACTGTCTGGAACGAGCAGTCGGTCAATTCGCCAATCGGCCGGCTTTGGGGAAGTTCTGTGGTCGTCTCTTGGATTTCATTGTCATTGATGTTCAAGGCAGGCCCTGCGTCGTAGTCTGAGATCTGCGCCGTCGGGGCCATTCCTCGATCCATAGCCACCTGAAGATCCAACTCCACAATGGTGTTCCATATCCGACGTCGCATCTCTTTATTGAACACGGATATCTTGGTGTAGCGACTAGGATCGCGGTGGTACCCAGCCAGCATAGCCTGCTTCACTAACGTGCCGGTCGACAGCCATGCCTGGCTACGTTTCATGCCATGACTATTCTGAGCAACGATCAAAAGCACATACAGCCGTAGAGCCGTGATCTCAGGCCGCTTGATGCTAGCGTTCTCCAGCCATTTCTCCGCATGCAATACCCACTCGATAGCCGTATAGCATTGCAGGGTGTCCTCACTCTTAGACTTGAGTACCTCAGGGTCTGCCAGATTCCAGGCGCAGGCTAGGACCAACATCAACTCGACAACAAACGCCGGCGAGACCAGGGTTGGATTGTCCTTTTGTGCCCAGAAATGATCCAGTTCACGGAGGAACGAAGGTACGTGGAGGATGCGATGGGTAGATTCCGTGTAGGTCAAGTACAGGACGACGAGATCGTCCACCACGCGGCGTGATGGCAACGATGCAACCAACGCAAATGTATCTGGAACTGCGATTGGTGTGTTCAACGGGTATTTCTTCCACAGACCTCTTTTTACGCGCTCCAAATCCGGTCGTACTTGGGCCATGTGGGGACTGGATACTCGAATATCTTCTGCGAAAGATTTGATATCGGGGAACTATCTTGTTAGACAATTCCAGACCATAACATAACAAAAGACATACCTGAGCCATCACGTTGGCCAATATCCCTGACCCATTAAACCGGGTCCTTGTTTCCTTTCCACGCATCATAATCCGCGGCGCCAGATCCAGTTGCTGCGACGGCGATGCTATTCCCATACCATCCTCCTCGCCCTGCTCGGGATTATAGTGTCCGTAGCCGTATTGACTACAGTGCTGATGATGCAGTGACGGAAGATGTGCCGTCCCCGAGTGATGATGACCGTGGTGCGAGGAGGCAGGATAGTACCCCGAATGCCCACTACTACCCGGAGGATGGCGCCGCAGCACCTCGGTATTCACATAGGAGTCCTGGTTGACAGCAGATTTGGGTGCACCCAGGACCGTCTCCAAAAAACGGTCTTTTTTCCCTTCGCATTCCGTGCGTCGTTCGGTCCCCGAGGTCTGCGCTTGAGCCCGAGAGGCCCAGCCTGTTATCGCCGAGTCCGGGGGCGTGTGGAGGGGAGTCCGATCTACGAGATGGGGCAACGATGCTGGGTTGTGATTGGTATTGTTGTAACCATTGTTAACAGTTATTTCTGGTACTGTCGTGCTGGTAGTGTTGGTGGTAGTGGTAGCCGTCGCGGTTGTCCCTGAAGAACTCTCTCCAGGTGCGCCTCCAGTTGCTCCGGAAAACACCGTAGTCGCAGGGACAGTATTCGGCTGCTGCCAGAGAAACCCATCCTCATAGGTACATTGCGCGGGGTTTTTGCTTTTTTGGCACCGGCCGCAGATGGGATATTCGCGGTCGCAACGGAGCTTCCGGCTGCGACATTGCGTGCAGGCCATCGTACGGCGGCGCCTCTTTCTCGCGCGAGGAGGGTCGGAGGGGGGATCATGACTGGAGATGTCGGTGCTGTCATTCATGGTGGGTGCTTGTAATGTCTGAAATGAGCATTTTCTTTCTGTCTTTTTCTTGCTCGTCGTCCCTTTTTCTCTGGTTGATCGTAGCGGCGGCTTTTGATATCACGGGATTACGCGTGAGATCCACCGGCTTAGATAACCAGATTGGGAAACGCCGATCCGAAAGAGTTTTATTTTATTTATTTATTTATTTTTTTTTTTTGATTAGATTAGATCAAAATACTAGTTAACTACTCTGGTGAGTGGAATACATAAAACGGAATAGAGCAATTGTATGAGGGGATGGTACGTTGTGACTGCATTACCATCAGATACAGAGTCACTCAGGCGTTTATAGAGCTCTATCCGGCACAATACATCGGAATCACCTCGTGCCTGTCATGTTTGCTATTAACCAGAATGCTGGAATTGATGTCTGTATTGCTTTTTCCGGTGGGCCCTATCTACTACTACTACTACTACTACTATACATCCCATACTCCAATATACTGTTCTATAGCTTCAAATGCATTTTTAATATAACATCCATGTCATGCTTTCCTGCCCAATGTCACCATCATCCTTCTATCTCTCCCAATAACAATCATTCCTTTATGCCCGTATCTATATTATTCTGCCTGTCGGAGAAAGGCTCGGGGTATCGGTGATATAATAGCGCAATTCCCCGGCTTATATCAAGCGCTTCGACCTCTCAAACGTGTTCTTTTTCAATCAAAGCACTGTAAGTTACTTGCGCCATGTTTCGTTCACTGCTTTCGTTTGGTGGTGCCCCGCGGGCGCCAGAGTACATCTTTCCAACTGTGAAGCCAGAGGAGGATGGACCTGACTGTCGTCAAGACTGTGCGGACTGTACTGTCAAGTATCCCAAGTTCAAAATTGATACGGTTAAACCTTTGTATGGGCATATCAAGGAATACAGTACCCATGTCCTGGTTGCAACGGGGCAGTCTGATTGGATTGAGAAGGTCAAGAGTGACAAGGGGAGTTTGATGGAAGCGTTTGCGCAGAACTCCTCAAGGCCTAAACATGGAGTGCGTTTCACCTAAGGACAGATAAAGCCGTTTGATACTGACCTTTTCAGAAAATCGTGGTCTCCGCATCCAACCTGCAAAGTCCCGAGGACACAGAATCAGACAGGAACTCAGACATAGACAAAAAAAGCACCGTCTTGCTCCTCCCCTCATTCACATTAATTGATTCTGTCCGCTACAACGACGTCCCGGAACTAATCGACCGCTTCATCAACTCCCCATCCCCCGACCCGCAAGCCGATGGCCATGATACTCAAATGACCCCCCGGGCCTGTCCTCACGACTATGTTATCCTGCTCTGCTCCCACCGACGACGCGACGCCCGTTGCGGTATCACTGCGCCTCTAATCAAAAAAGAACTTGAGCGTCATCTCCGGCCGCTAGGTCTATACCGCGACGACAACGACGAGCGACCCGGTGGTGTGGGCATCTATTTCGTGTCGCATGTTGGCGGGCATAAATATGCTGCGAACACGCTGGTGTACCGAAAACAGGAGCAGCAGATGATCTGGCTAGCTAGAGTGAGGCCGGAGCATTGCGAGGGTATTGTTCGGTATACCGTAATGCAGGGCAAGGTGGTGCATCCCGAGTCACAGCTGCGGGGAGGATTCGATCGATTGCGAGGAGTGACTAGTTGGTGATATTCATACTCTGTATAGCATCCTTCATATAATGGCGTCTTCATAGTTCCTATTCTAATAATAAAATCCATTGTTCGTTGCCATACCCTGGTCCAAAAATCAAAAGAATCCCAAAAAGGAAAGTTGGATAAACCCCCGACGCGGCGTCACCGCGTCAAAGTCACGCGTCGCCAGGTCACGTTTTCTACTCCGCGACTTGCACAGGTCTGATTACCAACTTTCTTGCCTTGAATCATTGCATTGGCCTGGATATTTTCTATTATATAGACTCTGTCATGCAAAATGGCCACAGCCACCCTCACAGCTACGGATCTCCGCGCTGAACTGAAGGAGTGGGAGCGTGCTTTTTCGGCTGCCAACGGGGGGAGGAAGGCCGGTCGACTTGATATTAAGAGTAACCCTGATATCGGTATGTCCCCTATAATGTTCATCCGTACAGGATCATGCTAATGCTGTCCACTGTCAGCTGCCAAATACAAAGCCTACGGTCGAATGAAAGCGCACGAATCCGCAGCCGACAGAGACACGCACCACAACCAAAACGAAAGCACACTAGAAGAACGTCCCAAAAAGCGAAAACATACCTCCCCAACTGGCCCCGGCCACGAAGACTCTAACGCTGCTACGCCCCGGAAATCAAATAAAGGAATCTTCGCAACCCCTTCACGACCCCGAGTAAACCATCCCGCCGATATAGATCCCTATGACTCTCCTTCTGTATTACGCCGACTGTTCAGCCCGAGTACGCATCAGCAATCGACGCCACTTAAAGCCGCCATTGGACCTACACCACAGCGCGATGGAAAGGCATTGGGCTTGTTTGATCTTCTATCCGAATCTGGAGGAAGTACCGCGACACCGTCTGCGACTCGGATAGCCAGTCTTCAGGGAGCAGCAGTACAAACACCATCTAAACAGAACCGCATGGAAACAATCACCGAGGAAGACGAGGATGATGAAGAAGAGACCGCCCGCGGAGGACGAACCCCCACATCATCAGGGAAGAAGCTCTATCTGGAGAATTTATTCGCAACACCCACGACGATGAAATATGCCGCGATGGTGGAGGACGAGGAAGACCGCAGACCAACCGCCACCAATGTCCAAGCTGCTGCGGCTGCGGCATCAGCGAACAGGAGAGTAGCTGGGCCAGGCGAAACACCGTCATTCCTGCGACGCTCGAATGCGGGACGGTCGTTTAATGCGATGGATCCGTCGACTGGTGGGTTGAGCCCGATAGCTGCACGCAAACCGCCACAGTTCATTGGGAAGGGTCTCTCGGCGCTCGTGCAGGGATTACGAGATATGGAGGAGGAGCGGATGGAAGATGACATGGATGTATTGCGGGAGCTTGAAGCGGAGCAAGATGCCATGGATAATCCCAAGGTTGATGTGGAGGATAGTCAGGCTGGTGGCGCTGGTCGAAAACCGTACAAGAAGAAGGGTCAGAAGAGGACTACACGACGTGTCCGTATGAAGCCAGTTGTTGTCCCGAAGGCGCAGACTAAATCGACGGAACTATCTGGAGGTGAGGAAGAGGATGAACAGGCCGCCGTTCCGGAGACTCAATTCCAAGAACAAACTGAAAACCACTTCTCCGAAGACGACGATGGCGACGACGCTTCTCTAAACAGCATCTCAGAACCTGAACTAGAAAATTCAGATTCAGACCCCGACTTCGATGAACCCGTCACCAAAACCAAGAGCTTCGCCGAAAAAATGAAAGAAGCTATTTCCGCAGACTCCAAGAACAATCCACAAGAGTCGTCACAACTATCCGAAAAAGCTATAGCAAAGGCAAAGCAGAAGGAAAAGGGAAAAAAAGAGAAAGAGAAGGAAGAGAGTGCTAAGCCTCGCCCACGTAAGGTTAACCCTGAAACGCATGCAAATTACCGGTCTCTTAATATTAGGAATAAGAATACTAAAGGACGGGGCGCTGGACGCTTCAGGAGGAGGTAGGGGGGTTTATGAGGGATGATTTTGCATTGTTGTTTATTAAATTAGAGATACCAAGTTTAGTATATAAAGCATTATTCATAACATAACCAGATCTATATATTCGTCGCATTATGATATTCTATACTGTGCATTTAATCGGGAATGTACCTGTTCCGTGCGGACTGTAGCCGTCGAGCTTGTGTCGATGAATCTCGCGATCTCCCTCGATCATAAGGTCTTCTTGAAGAATACGACTTTGATCCCCTTCCACGTCCAGAGCGCCTATCAGGCCCAAATACAGGAGTTGACCGACGATCAGACTCAAGTTCTCGCGGGCCTGGCCCTCTCGGCGGTCTCCCTATCGTATCCTCATACTGTACATTCCGATCCCAGTCCTCGAGAGACATATACGGACTCCGCAACCAAGACGACAACTCATGCAGAAACAAACGAGCATTATCCCTTCCCACAAAATCACGCAGCAATTCCTCCGCCTGTCCAGCACTTCCTTTCACATCGACTGTGCGGAGGATCGCAATAATATACTCGAGCAGGAACTCGGCGTTGTTTCCGCGGCGGTTTTCTAGTCGTTGTTGGCCGGGACGGGGTACTCGGTTGTTGCAATTAGGTCCTACTCCTCCGTCTTCTTCTACTGGGTCGGGGTTCAAGAAACTAAATACGCGCAGTTCGCGACGAATCCATTTCCTGGCGCGCGATACTAGCTGTTCGTCGCGGTTGAAGAGTTCTGGTGTTAATTCGCGGTATTGCGAGAGGCGATTCGAGCCAACGCGTAGAGAGTATAGCTGGTTGCGATAGACATTTCTTCGTCGCAGGAGGGGATCGTCCGGTTCTCGTGCTCGCGGGCGTTGTGCTTCGCTCGGAGGACGACGGCCGCGACGGAAATCCGGACGATGTGGACGATGCGACGGCGATGCTGTAGGGCCGGTGGGAGATGCCGGAGGAGGTAGTTGGTAAACTTTAGGGCCTTCAGCAGCGTTTAGGTCGTATTTCACGGAGATAACATCCTTCTTGCCTGCGCCGAGTTAGAACCTGTATCCTCCGTCCGCTGGGTAGATGAGATCATACACAAAGGGCAACTCGGCCGCTGCTCCAACCAACTCAACAAGCAGAGAAAATCGAAATTCACATGTCCGCACGGTATAGATATCCCTGGCTCTGCGATTGCATCAAGACATATCACACACGGATTGGCCGCAGCTTCCTCTTCCGCGTCTTCGTTTCGGTGGTTCTTGTTCTCCTGCGCTACTTCCTCCAGCGTCTTTTGCAGAATTTCCTGTCGCAGTTCGACATCATCAGGCATCAGACACACAGCGCTAGCGACAGATATCTTCGCAAGACGGTGGATGTGTAGAGCCCATGCTGTGGCGGGAGTCTCTGAATTCAAGTTGCCCCAGTCGCGGTCACGTTTTTGGCGTCCTACGGCAAAATCTCCCCGACCGCCCGCGGCCAAGTTGATGACTACCAGTGACTTTACAGTCAAGGCAAACAAAGCTACGACGGCAAGCAAATGCTCTGACGAAGACGGGAATTCCCTATTGCCGGACAAGTGGGACGCAATGAAGTCCGCCAAAGCAGTCGTCTCTGAGAACCGGTATGCTGCTGGTCAGGACCCTCCGCAGCTACCTTTGCGCACGATAACGGGTTTGAAGCGGTGGTCGATTGCGAATCGAGAGTTGCCAGGTGAGTCATTGCCTCTAGCGGAAGGAGGGACGCGGTTTGCTAACTGGGCTAGCAGCGACCTCGCAGGTTAAAGCTATTCATGTATACGACTTCGACAACACATTATTTTTGAGCCCTCTCCCCAACCCACAGCTATGGAATGGCCCAACCATCGGATTTCTACAAGCATACGAGAGCTTCGCCAACGGAGGATGGTGGCACGACCCCAACCTTCTCGCAGCTACCGGAGAAGGGCTGGAGAAAGAAGAACCACGCGCCTGGGAAGGCTGGTGGAATGAGCATATTGTGTGATCCTACGGATGCCCCCTTCGGTACGGGCATTTTCACTGACTTGTGTTAGGTACGGCTGGTCCAGCTGAGCATGCAGCAGAAAGATGCCCTCACAGTTCTTCTGACAGGTCGGGGTGAGAATGGCTTCGCTGATCTTGTCCGGCGTATGGTGGATAGTAAGAAGCTGGAATTCGACCTTGTCTGCCTCAAGCCGGAAGTCGGGCCCAACAATGAGCGATTTGCAACTACCATGGAGTTCAAGCAAGCGCTTCTTGAGAATCTCATTCTTACCTATGAGCAGGCTGACGAGATTCGCATTTATGAGGACCGTGTGAAGCAGTAAGTTTGCACCCGTGTATTGGATGAAATAGTCTAATTTAAGCAGTGTCAAACGTTTCCGAGAATGGCTTGAACAGCTTGATCGGAGATTACCAGCCCTGCAAAGCACTGGGTCGAGGCGCTTCCTCAATTTTGATGTGATCCAGGTAGCTGAAGGTTGCACGTATCTCTCCCCTGTAGTCGAAGCTGCTGAGGCACAGCGCATGATCAACTCTCACAATACCATCATCTCACGCAACCCAAGCCTCAACATGACCAAGTCGTCATTTGGCCGACTTTGCATAAAACGCACAATTTTCTATACTGGGTATCTGATCTCCAACACAGACTCGAATCTCTTGATTGATCAGTTATTGCTCCCAAACCTGCCTCACGGGCTTGCTGATTCCAATGATCTCAAATATATGGCTAACAGCATACTAATCACGCCGCGTCCTGCACCCCGGTCCATTCTGGACAAGGTTGGTGGGATGGGCAAGAAGCTTAGCTGGCAAGTTACTGGGACGGCAGTGTATGATAATAAGGTCTGGGCAGCTCGTCTGACTCCTATACCTGCTCATGAGAAATACTACACTGACAACCCGTATCCTATTGTCGTCTTGGCGGTGCGCAGAGGCGCCCGTCCTATTGACGCAGGAAAGATTCAAATCTGGAACCCAGTGCCAGCCGATCGAGCATTGACCCTTGACACAGTGGTTGGCGAGAAAGTAGTCCTGCGCGTGGAAGAAGAGATTCCCAACGAAGGTGAATGGGAAAGTCAGTTCACCAACAAGAACAATAAGAGGCGTCATCAGCAGGAGCGTGAAGAGGACAATTTATACCCACAGTCGCGTCAGCAGCCCAACGGTTACACTGGACCGTCACCCAACAGGCCGCGCCACCATGACGATGGACCCCGTCGTGGCGGATATCGTGGTCGAGGACGCGGCAATGGGCCACGGGGACGGGGCTCCAACCGTGGAGGACGTGGCAGAGGCCGTGGACGGGACACTGGTGCCCATCCGTTCTATAGGTCGCTTGATGACTATGGACACGAAGGAGAAGATGACAAGCCGGGATCGGGTGTGATGAACTATTAGAACTCCGGACGATAATCTTTCTTATTTACTTTTTGGTTGGCTTGCGCGTTTAAGCTACGGCTTGCAAGATTTGTGCATTTAGAATCTGTATCTTTATTCCAGTGGGCACGGCGCATGTATTCGGCGTGGTTGATATTTGATGATGCATACTAAAACTGCGTTTGTATTCAAAATTGATATCGGTCATACTCAAAGCCAACTAGGCTTGTTCATGAGATACAGCCGCTGTTGGTCACAGCATGCCAACTCAAGTTTCACAAATTGCTTCCCTGTCTATAACCTATACTACCGATATAAACCCAACCCTCTTCCTTCCAGACTTACGCCTTTCCCATTGTTTCTATACATCATCTAATACCGGCCTGATCATCAACCAGCTTGACCAGCATCATGGCATCTCATTATAATCTGGTCTCCTACGGCTCCGACACCGAACGCACCAAACCCCTCCATCCCCCTCGAATATCTAATTTTAGCAGTCCTCTTCCTCAAGTCATTGACGTTTCCATGTTGTTGAAAGCTATTTCCGCTTCCCAACTACTCTACATTGAAGTCAGGAAAACACTGCGATTCACAAAAGTTTTGTTGGCTCCCGGGAACTAGCCACTGTAAAGTGGTATATTCCATAACTAAATACCTACATCCTCATCTACCTCCCGTTTGTTGATGAGTTAATGCCACCCTTGAATTTCTTTCTTTCCTCGCGTAAACTGGCCAGAATCCACGTCTGCTCGGGCAGAGCGTGCCTCCAGTCTGGAGGTTATGAGACGGCTACTGCAATGCGATAATATCATAACCACCTATCTCTGGACCTGCCAGCAGCTCTTGCTGGGTCCCCAAGCGTTTGTCCACGTTATACTGGAGAATTATTACCTCAATCAATGAGATGCTTGCTCCGGAATGTCGACCATTATGAGGCCTAATGCTCCATGTTGCTCCTGTTCTGCTTTGGCCAAATCTGTTGGTTTCCTGCTCGGGCCCCAGCGATCTTGGGCTGTATTGACTTCTCCGTGGACCTGGAGCACTTGCCCATATGTTGAACCAATCGCCATCCACCATAATACTGGGCGAGCTGCTCCTTTGTCTTCTCTACGGGAGGGGACATGGGTAGATTCTTGGTCTAGAATTGAAGGCTTCTCTGGCTCTATTCCAGGATTGCGTGAGCACCCCATCCCCAGCAGACCATTGAAGATGAGAAATCGTTGAATACCAGGTTGAATCTGGTGAGTCGATATGGCCGTAGAAGGGTAACGAAATAAGACACAATGGTAGGCGGTACGGTACTTGAACAACAGGGTAAATACTTTCAGAACATCTACGCAGCCTTCTTCCCAAGGAACCTCTTCGTGAAGTCCGGCTCAAGCAAATAAACAATCGAGGGCGTCCGCCTTCTGGATCTTGGACCAAGATGAGCGCTATGTCTCGATAGCGAAGGTGGAGCGCCCCTGGTCGGCTTGCAGTGACGGCTGCGAGCTGGCAGAAGAAAAGGATCGGGATGCGCTGTCAGCCGCAGTCAAACATCATATCAGTAGTGGCCAAGACAACTCGTGCTAACTCGGAAACATCTTCAATAAACAATAAACATGTTCCTCTTTGGCCGCTGGCCAGGGTCTAGGCCTTTCTCTTTGGCGACAATGGCGATGACCTATACTTCATCAGTGGCTGTTCCTTCTTTAGCCAGTGCAGAAGAGGAATTATACGCTCACATCCTGCACCTTGACATTTATGTCTTTGTTCAGTCCTGGTGCCGTCTCCTGTTTCAGAAAAAGATGCCACCACTTCCAGAACGACTCAAGCAAGCTCTTTTATTCAAAGCCTGGGTAGTGCTGACCATTCTCGCTGTGACGGATATTACACCGTCAGCCAAAAATTGTATACAGGAAACAGACCAGCTCACCTGGCCTGAGATCCATTGCCGGTGCTGTACCGGGCTGACCCCAATGTACCGATTATATCTTCCAGGGAGCCATCGGTGAGTTTTAAACATAGGCCGAGGGTCAAGAGAGCTATCTACTTATCCCAGTACATACAAGTCCCATCGCGTTTTTCCTAAGCGCCGTCACCGTCACTGTACCGCTTCTGTCAAATCTGGGAGACGTTCAAGATCTCTGCTTGGGCCAAATAGTGCTCAGGAGGCAGCTGGCCCTCATAACCAAAGGTAGCATCGCTGGGTTTATCTTCGCCATTCAAACCCTCACTATCGAGTTCCGGGTCGCTGGTGGAGTCACTATCAGATCTGTTGTCCGCAGCGAGAGCATCTAGATAGGTGATGTTGAACAAAATAGTAAAAGAAGTCCCATTTGAATCTAGCGTCAAGGGACATGAAACCCGTGGCTGTGGGAATACGCTCACCTGATGGCAAGAGAGTTGGTTAGCAGGACTCCTAAAACGGTCCCTTTTTGGCCGCCTGCTAACCTTAACATTGTTAAATGGAGTGTTGATTTACATCTTCACCATCCGATTTCGACCATTAATCCCCAACAACCGCCTAACAAACATCTCTGGTTCCTCTCTAGCTTTATCAAAAATTCCATTGGGCTCCTTAAATCTCCATAGCACAATCCCATCCGGCCGTACAAGAACAGCACCGTTCTTCTCAACCCCATTGAGTTCCACCCAATCAACCTCCCCCAGTCTAGATTCCGGGATAACAGCCTCGACATGCACCCAGTCACACTGCAATGTCATCCAGAGCTGAGCTGCCATTGTAACGAGAATACATTGATTCTTCCCACCAGGATTCATCACCAGATCCCGTGTTGAAACCCGTACGCCTTCTTTCAGTACCCACATGTGCGGAAGATGATGTCCTGGGACTGCAGAGGGGTGGTAAGTCATGATATCGAATTCGCCGTCTTCTGTTAATTGTCCCTCATGGCGCGTTCTAGCACCCTCATTATCGATATCACAGCTAGGATAGAACCACCCTACTTCAAATCCTAAGGCACAGAATTCTCGATCCAAGATTTTCTGTGCGTTTGCTATATTCATCCGCAGTTTATCCCCATCGGGATTTGCCTGGTCGAGATAAGCCTGCAAAGACCGAGCATTATCTTCCGGAGAAGCATCAAGCCTTATCCCCAACGCACGATCAAGCACAAGCGTATGCTGACGAAAATCCAAAAGACTAGTGCGAGCAACCTGGTGAGCCAACGGCTTACGCTCTTCCTCGTATGTATCCAGCCATTTATGCAGTTTCTCCTGTTCCCTTTCATCGCGAGCGTTTAGAGCAATGCCCAACTTCCAAGCTAGATTCTGTACATCCTGCACACCTGTATTCAAACCCAACGCGCCCCAAGGCGGGATTCGATGCGCTGCATCACCGACGAGAAACACTCGACCACCTTTACTGCGATACCGCTCTGCGACGATGGCGTTGATGTTCCAATGGCTTATGGATTTCAGTTCCACGTTGAGCCCCGGGATCTTGAGCGTCCGATGAAGACGCTCCAGCATAGCATCCTCATCAAACCCACTCATCTTTTCATGGGGTAACAGCGCACAAGCAAATATCCACTCCTCGTTCTCAGGTGTACTCGGATACGGCCCGACATGATACATAAACCCCGTGCGAATACTCCCTCCCAACACCGGATCAATAAACCAAGTAATCAACGCGTGTGGATTCGGATGATACTGACTGATCGGTGCTCTGAAATGCGCAGAGACCATATTCGCAATGTCCCGCTCACCCTGCATCTTGATACCTAGTGCATCGGCGACAAAACGGCCGCCGTCTGCTGCGATGACATATCGCGCTTCTTCAATCTCCTCTTTCTCTTTCTCTTTCCCATCATAATCAGGTAGACTTGTATACCTCACACGCACCCTTACCCGATCATGAAGCTCTTCAACCCCAAGTACCTCCGCACAATTCCTGACCCCACCCGGATTCCTCTCCTTCGCCTGTCCAAGCAACACCGGCTCAAGCCGTATTTGCGGACATACCATATACCCCCCCGGACTCGGACTAACCGCCTCATACACTTCCTTATAGACACCCCCGCCCCAGGCATCCCTCGTAAGCACCTTCCTCCCTTCCCCACTTCCATTCGGTGCCAAACTCGTATACCAACAAGTCTGCGAGACGGTCTCCGGTGGCGCAGAGACATCAAATATGTCTTCTTGCAGGCCAAGTGAGCGGAAATATTCAATTGTACGGGCGTTTAGGCCAACGGCTTTGGGGAATATGGAGGTGAAGGGGTGTTTTTCGAAGAGGAGATGCGGGATCGGGGTGGATTGGTGGGAGAGGGAGAGGGAGGTTGTTAGACCGGCTGGGCCGCCCCCTATTATTAGGATGGGGTGCATTTGTTGCGTTTTAGGTTGTGGGTGTCTATGTTTATATTTGTGCGGATCGGTGGAAAAGGGTAGTGTGGGTTGGGGATAGTAGCAGGGGTGTAGTTGTTATACTCTGGGATAGCAGCAGCGGTTTATATATACATCCGGCACTGCTGCTTCTTACTCCGTAAGCAGTACGAAGTGGTGTTGATTTTGAAATATCGAATCTCATTGATTGTTTTTTTTTTTCGGCTGGATGTATGACAATTCACGCACTGCCTTGCCCATATCTGACAGACAACGGAGAATGCTTCCTGTTTGGGGGCGGGGATTCATGAATATATTACGAGGCATGCAATCGTACTTACAGATTTGATATAATTATTAGATGCTACCTGAGAGGTGATGTATGCAAAGACTACGCGACATATGGGTATGGAGCAGCAGACTAGTATGATTCAAATCTATATATAAACCAACCCAAAATATAATAACCGGACAAATTCACATTCTTGAGACTTTCATTTATCAAATCGTCTCTGGATATCTCACAAGCTCAGTCCATATCCCATCCATTATCCTCCCAATAACCATAAACCATAACCATAAACACAAAGCGCAGAACAAGGGGGGAATAAATCATCAAGCATGTCAAATTTTATACATCAAACATGAAAGGGAGAAAAAGAGAAAAAAGGACATCAACGGGACGAATTGAATAGATCATGGCAGATATTCATCTCGTATGGGGTTATCATAAAAAAAAAAAAAGAACCATTTCCATATCCCATTCAACATATTATGTCGTAGCGGTTCATATCGAAATCAAAATCAAGGATAATAACAAGGGGTAAAAATAAAAATGAACGTCGTCCCATATCAAATGCGGCGTTGGCGTCATGTATAATTGCATTATGCTTCTTCTTCATCGTCCGTCAATTGCCGGATCAGCCTGATACTGAGAATCATTACCAACAGGCCTATTGTCGTCACCACCATTAAACCGAATCCAAACCAGCCGAGTACCATGGCTGATGAACCGACACCACTCTTGACACTGCCATTGCCCATATCTTGGGCTATGGTACTGGCTGCCACGGACGCTGTATGTTGCCATAGCACTGAGACGAGGATAAAGACACAGGCGATGAAGATGAGTGCCAATGCGACTTGCGAGACCGCTCGTGACGGGAACGGCTTGACTTCCTTCTCTGAGCCGGTACCATCGACCTCTTCGTGCCATCCGGGGAAAGTGGCGAGGAGGATAAAGCAGAAGAATGCCAGGATAACGGCGATGATCCTAATCCACGTTAGCCATGCACACAGAAAAATATGTAAAAAGGCACATACAGCAAATACGGGAACACGACGGCATCTTTAAATGTCGCCGCAACCCAAATCAAGTTCAACGGATCCTGGTCGACCGTAACAACCTCGGCCAGCGCTGTCGCGTTCGAGTTGCAGATGTACGATCCTCCTCCAGAGGGCTGGATGCAGATTCCAAAATACCCCACGCGAACCTCCATCGCTGCTCCTCCCACGATGTTCGCAGTTGCCGTGACCACACCAGGATCCACCTGTGCAAGATTGAAAGTAGGCTTGTATCGTTCGTAGTACATCGAAATGAGGAAGATGTCGGGGATTTGCGGTGACGACGAGGAGCATCCGGCCAATAATAGAGCTGTTATGACATGTTAGCTGCAACTTCAAACCCACGTGGACGGCAGGCATATCGTACATAGCAGAATAATTGCAACAGCAATGATAATCATAAGAATATGATGGTAACCGACCATAGGAATGAAGCCTAGAACATGTTAGCATTCCTCGAATCTATTATCCGTCATGCCAGAGAGATAAACATACGGGCGAAACCTTGAGCAATGTTGATCGCCATGTTGTCGATAGTCGTCACACTCTCTTCGTCCTTCTATTCTCTCTTGAACAAATTACTCACTTCCCGGATCCCCGAGAAGGAGCGATCGAACTGAGTTGCTGGTCACGACAGTGGGCGAAGAATCGAACAACTGGTCACCTCGTGGAGCTGTCAAAACACCTAAGCCAGTGATGTCGGACACAGATGACAGCAAGTCGTACAGAGGAATGCCGGGGCAACGTGGAATGGAATGTGGAGGACCAGGTTTTATCTGGACGAATCGATTCAAGGAATGCAGTCCTTCTCGACCTGAAAAAAGACCGAATCTTGTCAGGCACACACAACAAAGTCAATAATCTGCAAGCCAGACCGCCAGAGAAGCAACAGCAGCAGCAGCAGCAGGTGGAGGGCAAATGGAAGCAAAAACCGAGAAAGTGAGAAAAGAAAAGAGAGGGAGAGGGAGAAGGGGAAAGGGGAGAGAGAATGGGAGAGATCGTAAACTCCGTCACACTTAGCCCCGTAATCCTGAATCGACCGTCTTTACTCTTTCCTGACGAATTGCAGACTCAATTGGCGTGGGTTTATTGTGGTGGCTGGTATGCGTGTTCGTACCTGACTGACTCTAGTATACAAGGAGGCTGGGCCAACCGCCTTTTGTTTACGGCGGTCTGGTTTCCCGGTAACCGTGACTGACCGCCTGCTGTTTCAGCGCTAACACTATTCCTAATCAGGGGAGATCTGAGCATTAGAGCCAATTAGGGCTGGCTTTGGAGATACTGTGGATCCGGTGCCACCGCCTATCATCACGTGCCCTCCCCAGCCCCCGATTTATCAATCTTTTTAATGGGACAAAATAACATTTCAGTGATCTGCTATTCTAAATTGAGTATCTATCGTGGGCCTACTCCGATATGCCCCTTGCAAGCTCCCTTGGAAGCTCCCTTGGCACCGTCTGAATCAACGATCCAACCTAGATACAGACACAAAGTCTAACAATGTCCAAAATAACCTACTATGCCCCGCGCAATGCAAAACCATACAAAATTATCGTGAAAATCTGTCCAATAAACTCCCAAAACTCCATCCGCATACAATGCTGAAGTATTCATATACAATGTTCCTAATATGTAGTCTCCGGTGCCGTAAATGAGAACTGTTTCAGATCAAGTGAAACCGGCCCTTGGCTGGCACCGGAGTCATCAGAACTGTCGTCCTCGCTTTCGTCCTCGCTGTTGGGGATAATCATGTCTTCACTTCCCTGGGCGCCAGAGACTTCGGGTGCGTTAAGACGCTGACTGGTTGCGCTACTTGCGTTGCAGGTGGAAAAGGTGGGCGGAGGAGCAGTTCCGCTGCCAGGGAGAATCATGGATCGAGACCGGGAGAGAGCGCTCTGTCCCAAGCGCTGCAGGGGTGTTGATCGTTGCCGTCGGGTTGGGCTTCTGCGGGGCCCTAATAAGAGGCCTGCAGGTGATGTTCGGGGCGATTGAGCGTTCATTGCCCCAAGAGAAGGCTTCCTGGAGATACCAGGACTGTCATTCGGCTTAAAGGAAAATTTGGAAAGTATAGATGTATCCTGTCGTTCGACGTGATAATTCAATACCTGATTAAAAGTTTCGCTGTTCGAATCGACGCTGACGGACTTTTCGGGAGTAGGCTCCGGAACGGTTTTTTCAGGAATGGTATTCTCAGAAACGGTAGTGCTTTCAAAAGACTCTTCTTTTCGTCCATCACCTGCGGGCTCCGCGGTGGGAGTAGCAGGGATTGGCGCCATCAAGTCAGCTTCCCGTTCGCCAGTCCTTTTGTATGGCGTTTCGGTTTCGTTGGGTGAATCATCTGGCTGGGTAGGATCAGGGAGTTCAGACATGATATCCTCAGCACTGTCGTCGGAGAAAACACCAATGGTCGACTTCCGCACTTTCTCCGACTTCATACTCTTCTGCCCGCTGGGACTCGATTCTCCATCCTTGTGCACAAAGAACCGGCTGCGGCAGTTGGTGCGAGTAGGCAACGACCCTTCCTCGGCTTCGGAACACAGCCGTTGTCGCTTTGCTGGCTGAAATGTCGATGCTTTAGAAGCTTGGACTATGAAAGAGCTGCGTTCCACACTTCTTGCCAATGGGCTTGAAACTCGAGTGGTCTGGGAGCGACGGAGAGACGGCGCTGGTATAGCAGCATTTAGCCCTGCTGGTGCAGGACTGCTGTCCCAGGAGCTGTTTGAATAACGTTCTAGGAGCCGTTGCTGGCTAGGAGATGGTGTCAGGCTGTTGGGATCCAACTCAGCTAGAGGCATTCGTTTCGGAGTGAAGAAAGTGCTGATAGGTTTGTTTGGTTTTAATTTCAATTCAGCTGAAGAGCCAAGGGTTTGCCGACGTTGGATGCTGAGCGCAGGCTTGCTCGGGGCAAGTGGCCTCAATACGATCGGTTCCTTGGTCATCGGATCAAGATCCCCACGAGCCACTCCTACTGCAATATCTGCATCGACATCACCGCCAATATATGGTAGTTCATCGAGGTTGACATCATCCTCAGGCGGGGTGAGAGTCACCAACTTCCCAGCTTTCGGACAAAACACCCTCTGATAAAGAAATGTGAATTCGGCTTGTTTAAAGTTGTCGAGATAATCCGCCGGAACACGATACTGCCCCTCAAACTGAAGCATTCGAAGGGCCTTCTCCACATTTTTGTATTTCCGGATACATCGATAGGCGGTTTTTAACCCGAGTCGTGCAATGTTAGGTAAATAGTCACACCCGCTAAGGATGCACATCCGTCTGAAGTCCGCATCCGTCCATCCGATCAGACTAACTTCACGACAAGCTGTAAAGTCCGCTCTGTTGATCTCGATAAAGTCACCGTGCTGGTCGAGTTTAGATAGTAGCCTCTTCGCACCAAAGACGAGAAGGTCCGAGTCTTCGGAGATAATCCCGTCAATCATACCATGGCGCTCCAGGTACACCATCTGCGCATCAGCCTCGTACGGTGCCACGACATACTGCACGTTCATCTTCTTCAACTCCTCGATCAATTGACGGGCCATGTAGGGGGTCACGTCCACCGCCTTTTGAAACTCTTGGTATGCCTCCGCCATTCGTCCTTTTCGTTGAAGTTCCAACCCAAGAGCCTTGCTCTGCTGACGCCGTTGGTGACGATCGGACTCTGTCCCGGACTTGCTTGGTAGATCATCGCCGTCGAAGACAAGATATGGTGTGACGCCAAAGTAAAGAAGCATACGGACACGGTTTAGGACGAAGTCGATGTGCCTGTTTCGTTAACTGCATGTCATAAAACGCATCCAATGGAAATGCCATACTTAGTCGTAGGCTTATCAAGCACCAGATCAACCGCACATGCAACTGTACCCCGGTGCAGCCACCCATAAGCATCCACTCCCAAGGTCTGGCCATCGAACTTCTTCAAGTGACATGGTTTTTGGATCGATTTGAGAAGTCCATGGAGACCTGCCCATGTCAGCCATCTCCCTTACAACACCGACTGATCGTCCCACCTTTAATGCCCATGATTGTGGGCTTATTGCAGGATCAAGATGGTCTTCGACTGGATTACCTGCACAGCAGGAACGGACATGAGGAGTAAAGCTCCCAAACAGGCGCAAAAACAAAAGGGGTGGCGTGAACAAGCAAACGAGACAAAAAATACCAAATCCACTTGCCCAAATCACAAACCAACCCCAAACGACAGCCAGGACAACGAAGGCTGGAATGTTGCTCTTCTTTCAGGCCGACGCGCAGACGCGATGCCTCCCTCTTTGGGAAGCTATGCTGTCATTGGTTGCCCTCAGGCGGTGTTGATTGCCGCGGTCACCGCTCTAATATTCTGCCGACAGAAAGAGACTACGAAAAAGGGAGAAAATTTTGAGGAAACAGTTCGAGTTCATATTTTGCCCAAGTCGTTCTCGTCGGTGAGAATCGGGATATTGTCACCATGCCGAAGTCATTCAACAAGGTACACAAGCAGATTTCGAAGAAGCGGGGAGTGCTTGAGGGGCTTCATGAAAACAGTCGAGATGCGAAGAGATTGCACCGGGCCAATTCAAGAGACGATCGAGTGGCTCGGATGCACACCAAGATGGTCAGAGGGAGGAATTCATACCGTATGCTTCTTCGCGCACCACTGTCTATGCAATGTTCTGAACTAACATACCATAGTTGAGCGCATACTCTACTTTCAAGAGCATGTCCCCGAGGGATCAGGGCCGTTCTCTGACGACGATATCAGAGAGTTGGTGACGAGGTATGCTTCTACTGTATAGAACCTGCCAAGTATATGCGCATATACTGATTGTGCATCATAGGCATATCAACCGCGACGTCCCCGAGATCGAGCAATTACAACACGAACGGCGCAAAGGTCGCCCCCCATCGAAGCGTGAAGAGGCCTTACTACAGCGCACCGACACTGAGAATAAAGAGCTGAAGACTGGGTTTTGGATGCCTGACTTGAGCAACGAAGACGTGGTGAAAGCGCTCCCTCGATGGAACCAAGTCTGGTCGAGTCTGAGTGCGATGAAGTTTATCCGGTTTACGCACGACGGCGGGAAACAACCTTCGACGTTTCCTCCGAAGGGACTGTCTTGATTCTTCTATTGTTTTCCTTTGAAAAAAAAAAAAAAAAGGTGGCTTTCGTTGATATCCATACTGCTATGATGCGGAGTATATGATTGATGGGACACAGACGGCGTACAAAAGTACTTTATTCCATACTATATGAAAATTATTATGCCATTGTAAATAAATGAACAGCCAAAATATAATAAAACAGAAGAAACACACCTTTTCCAGACTGTCCTCCTTATCCGTATTATGTATACATTTTGGCAGCGGACTGGCGTCAGTTCTTGGCGGAGGTTAACATCATAGTTTTCGCCGCTTGCATCCTCCACTCTACACCTCAATTTCTCTTCTTCGCCCTCCAATACCAGCTCTATCATTATCTTTACATACTACAAAAATGCTCTTCCTTCGCACTCTTGCCCGCTCGGTGCCTCGCACTATCTCCCGCTCCATCGCCAGCTCCGCGCCGTCCGTTGCCCTGCGTCCTGGGTCGACCATCCCCAAGTCTCTGTTTCAGTCGCAATTGAAGCAGGTCGCAAGACCCTCGTACGCTGCTTTCTCGACCTGCCGCGCTTTCAGACAGGCTGCTGAGGGTATGATATACACCGGTTCTTTGCATGTGGAAGCTGTGATGGAAAATTCTTCCGATCACCCGCGGCAGCTAGAGCTCTTCGTTGTGTGAGGTCTTTGAAGTACACAAGCTAAAATTCTGTGTTGTTTACTGCTACAGGTGATGTCGAATTGGCTGCTAAGCTTGAGGATGAGCTCAGCCATGAGAAGGCTTCTGGTCTAAACGATTTGGAGACATCCGTCCAGAACATCCAGTATGTTCTTCAGAACAACTCGTTCGAGGTATGCGCAGTCAACAACGGAGCTGTATATTGTTAGACCTCCATGCTAACCGTGAATAGGTCAAGGATGTTCCCGGTGAGCAGGAGATTGTGTTGACGAAGAAGTTCAACAACGAGGAGTAAGTTCCTTCTTCCCTTTCCTTGGTAGATATCCGACTCTTAACAAAACCCCGCCTTGAACAGGATCCGCCTCACCTTCACCGTCGCCGACCTCCAGAACCTGACCGAGCAAGAAGAGTTCGACGACGCTCTTGGTGACGAGCTGGACTATGAGGGTGGCCACCAAGCTGCCAACCAGGGCCGCCCTGGTAACGTCGCGCAACATGCCGAGGACCGCGTCGCTCCCGCCGACCGTGAGATGGACCCCTTAGAGCGCGACGTCGAGCCCAGCTTCCCTGCCCGTGTCAACGTCACCATCGAGAAGCCCGGCAACGGTGCCCTTCTGATCCAGACCGTCGCGCAGGACGGTCTCTTCCAGATCGAGGAGGTTTCGTACTTCCAGAAGCCCGACCTTGCCCACGCCCAGACTGCTGAGAAGGACTGGGCTAGACAGAGCCTCTACGCTGGCCCTCCATTCGAGAACTTGGATGAGGACTTGCAGACTTTCTTGGAGCGTTACCTTGAGGAGCGTGGTGTTAACGCTGAGCTCGCCAACATGATCCCTGACTACATCCAGGTTAAGGAGCAGAAGGAATACGTTCGCTGGCTCGAGAGTAAGCACCCTTAGCTCATTTTCAAGATTGGTCAGTCATCTAACAGGATAATCTACAGACGTCAGAAACTTCGTTTCTGCTTAAACGAGGCACGATTCGACACGCCTAATACACCTCTCTACTCTCCAACTTCTCGAATATTTTAATCGTTATTATGCCACAAAACTATCCTCGCTTGACCTATTATGTTTGTCGACATGTGTACCAATAGATATGAATTTGATGTATATGCACTTTCAATTATTTCTGTAGTCCCGCCTTCGTAACGTCAATGTGCCTGATCAAGAAAGATTTGCAAGTAAAATCTAATTATAGCAGTTCATTTGCACTCATAAAATAGTATATCATATCCTCAGTTCCTAAATATAAACACAACACCAACGCCATGACCCTGAAGCCATCCAAACCGCTGATAAAAATCAAAAGAGTGACTCAAAATTCCATACTTTCCGACTTAACCTCAGCACCCTCTTCAGTCCGCTCCCGTTTCCCAGTCCGTTCTTCTTTGATGAGACCAGCAATAAACGACCGGAAATAGTCGATATACGGTTTCAGACTAGTCTTCTCATAATCCTGCAACTTGCGACTCCCTCTTGCATCAGAGCCGTCGGGTACACTCCCCTCTGGCTCAGCGGCCTCAGAGCCTGCGCTGTTCGAGGAGTGCTCTGCATCCCAAGCGTCAATTTCAGAGAGTAACTGCGATACTGTAGGAACGGAGAGGGGGTCGAATTGTTCGGCCTTCCGGCCGTCGATGGGGACACAGACGCGGCCGGTACCGGGGTGGATGACGAAGGGGCTCTTGAGCAAGTGGATCATTTTCTTGCTGACTTCGGAATCGAGGCGTGGGTAGGTGTATTCTAGGACGATGTCTTGCTTTGCATTTTTTAAGGAGGTAGTGTTGAGGGATTTGCTCTGGCCGGATTCTGCGAGTGCATCGATGTCGGTCCATTTATTCTTGCTGGAGCGGCCGGGTGAGGAAGCCCATTTGCGGCGGAGGGCGTCATTTAAGGAGCCGTCGGGGAGGAGTGAGAGGAGACGTTGTTCTTGTTCGGAGCCTTCGAAGGTGTCTTGGTCGATGAGGGTAGTTTGGGCGAAGTAGGGTCTCAGGACCTCGAGACTTCGGGAGAGGTGGGGATGCAATGGCCGTTTTACGTTCACGCGCTTCCCACCACCTCCTCCACGGATTACTTCTAGATAACCCGCAATAGCTCTTCGTCGGTCATCAGGAAGGTTACGAGCACGTGGGTCACAAACCCAGGCGTGAGCACCACGACGACCGGAATATACCCACATGATATGCTCAAACCCGAAATCATCCCGTAGAGCAGTATCGACCACCTTCATCGCCATCGTTACAAACGACCAACACTTCCCGCAGATATTCGCCTTTGTGCAACACGATCGAATGTCATCGTAATCTGTCAAATCGATATCGAAAACCAATTCTTTCGACACTGGCTTCATCTGTCCGCCGCGGAGGGTCTTTCGGTCTCGGGGGTTTGTACTGTAGACAGGGCCAATTTCGAATCGAGAGGGGTTCATTCTTAGGATATCTTTGCGGAACCTGGCAGTAGACAAGTCAATATAGAGAGCCTGCTGGTTTAGTGTCCGGGTCAACGTACAAGTCCGCAGTTGCGTACGACTGATACCGCAAGTAGGCGTCATTTTGAAGCGTGAGTGCGAATTCCCGGTTTCCAAAATCAGGCGAAGGAACAACTCCATGGTTGAGCCACTGAAATATATAACGGAACGGAAACAGTCGCTGGTAGAAAGCAAGCATCGTATCGGTGTCGACTTCGGGCGGCGATGGTCCAGACGACCTACAAGGCGCATGGATTAGCGGCTTTATCCCCATCTGGGATGCTTGGAAGAAAAAGCCAAACTCACCCAGGCATCTCTGATGTATCCATCTTCTCAGGTGCGCCCGACGCAGGGAATTCATCATCGTCGTCGTCAAACATTTCCTCCAGTTTCACTCCCGTTCCTTCCTGAGCGTTATTCGTGGCAGGCGCATCTTGCATGACTTCGTCCTCGGCATTATCTGGGGATCGCGACTTATCCGGAGACACAGAGTGTGGCATGATGGCGTTGTGTTTCTCAATTTGGTGCTTGTCTGTTCTCTGCGTCGTCTGGTGAACTCCTCTACTTTCCATAAACGCGGCCGACGCGCGACGGGACGCGTTCCCCGCGGCCCTGCCCTAGAATCACGTGCTCCGATGGTCAGCCACGTTGCTTTGATGGCCAATGCCAGGACTCCAACTACATCTCACTGCCAGGGAAAATCATGTTCTGATAGCGAAAATCAACTGGCTGAGGATACTTACACAACCACGGAGCCTTAGGCAAGCGGCGCAGACTTGCATGCAGGCAATACAAGAATGCACATACATATGCTTTGCTGCCGCAAACGGAAATTGGACTCTTCTACAACCTCACCTCCTTCCGTTCTGGTCGATCCAACATGTCTAGGTGACAATTTTCAGGTACAGGCCACTTCTAGTGCGACGTAATGGTTGGGTCTCCTAATGCGGTATCATTGTTGGAGTTGTATGATGCTTCCATTCAAATTGGCCTGATTCTCAATGGAAGAGTAGCGACGATCAGTGTCCAAAAGCCCTGAGTGATACTCCTGTCTGCGACTCATTTCAGCGAATCATAGGGCTTTTGCTCTCATGGATCAAAGACTGGTAGCTGTTAACGGCAGACAGAGGGATACCACGACGCCGAGTAAGAACAGCTAGGTAAAGTCTAGGGAGGTCGGGGTTGCATATTCTTCCCACCAACAGCCATTAGTCCCTGAGGTGGCATCAGGTGCGTTCGTCCTCTTTCAACTACACTAGTAGCACTGGCCTAGTTGCTGTGGCTCTCCCCGCCGGTCTTCACATTCCACAGAATCTATGTCGCTTGCACATGTGCATTTCTGAGCTCCCCAAGAAAGTCCGTTGGTCTAAGCATTTTGGCATATCCGGACGCTTTGGTAGCCATTGAATACACTTGGCATTTTTCCAGCACGCCCGCGATAGTTGAACCCAGAGCGCATTTGCCGTGCTAGACTCTAAATGTCGAGTTATTCTACATATTGTGCAACGTAATTTGCAACAAACGAGCAAATAGCCACCGTGGAGTGATGACGCTATTGATGCAGTTCGTACCGCTACCCGTTTTCCTCGAGATTGCAACCCTGGAGTCCTGGTGTGGATTTTGCGTCCAAATAATCTTCCGCCATGTTACAATCTGGTGTTCACCTGGAAGTTGTCGAAATTCTCACTCATGACCTGGTTACTTCGGTTCCTTTTAGATCCAAGTTTCATAGGATTTAATCGCCTGCATCCGGTAAAATATGTTGCCACTACCACCGAAGCTTCAACTCTGGTTCCTCTGATCATCCAATCGGGACCGTCGTATCGTGGTGCTATCCACGAATACAACGGATGGCGATGGTTGTTCCCAGTTGGAGGATGAGTTGAACATGTGGCCCCCGAAGAGCAACCGAGCTTGATGTCCCAGGATATAAACCTCGACTTTCACGCACCATTTCAGTTTCTCATCCTCAGACATCTTCAGTCACAAAGTCAGCCATTCGCTCAGTTTCTCTCGTTTCAAGTCCATTCGTTCACTGTTGAGTCCTCGGTATTGCAATAGATATCCGGTTCGTTCAACATGGTCAAGCGAACTCTCGCTCTTCTGGCCTTGGCTGCTCCGGCCTTCGCTGGTGTCATTGAACGCGGCGAAGGAAAAGATAACGGGGACTGGGGCTGGGGTGGTCATAAGGACAAGCACTCTTCGTCTTCCCATGTGAAGCCTCCTCCTGAGCCGACCACCACATGGAAGCAGCCGTCCACCTCGGCCACTTCGTCTTCAACCTCTTCGACCTCTTCGGCTGCTACTTCGGAGACTACTTCTTCCTGGGTGAAGCCGTCCAGCACTCACCACCACCATAAGCCAACTGAGACGACTGTCGCTCCCAGCAGCAGCAGCTCGGTTCCGGGTACCACGGTGATCAATTCGACTCCATGCACCTGGGCCACCATCGGTACCTCTAC